AAGGAAGGAAGGAAGAAAGGAAGACGAGCATGTGCGACCATAGTTTTTGCTTTGTCTTCAGTTTAGTCTCTATTTATTCTTTTTGTTGCTTGCCTCCTTATTTGTTTTTCTAGCTTGACTGCCCATACGTGTTCTCTTAATTTTATCTTCTTTATCAGTTGTTTTTGTTTGTTATATTATTTGCTGTCTTTTTTGATTTGTATTATTTTATTTTATTTTATTTTATTTTATTTTTTCCCCCTTGGGTGTAGGGATGTGTCGATTTGGGTTTGTTTTTTAAAACGATATTTATGTACAATTTATAGAGTTTGGACTGTTATAACATATCTAAAAAATAGTTATCTAAATTATTTGTAGTTTTGTTATTTCCCAAACTATTTATACGTCGATTGCATAACCAAAATCTTTCTTCTCAATCTTCTTTTAGGAGCGTGTGGCTCCCCAGTCACGCCAAAGCCATGCCCCACGTCTTGTCCCACTTCACGAAGACCCGTGTGTGGCACCGACGGCAAAACCTACGACAATGGCTGTTTGCTAGCCAAAGCAAAGTGCACGCTACCAAAGGGTCAAAAGCGACAGTTTCGAATGCAATATCGAGGGGTCTGTGGTGCTCCCAGCACCCCTAAGCCTTGTCTGACGGTACGAAAATGCCGCCACAAGCGTGGATCTCCGGTATGTGGCACAGATGGTATTACCTATCGTAGCAAATGTCATCTGAGGGTTATTAAGTGCCAGAATAAGAGAAAGAAGAGGTCGCCTATTGGTTTAAAACATGTGGGAAGATGTACAGGAATTGGACGATAAGAAAGTCCATTTCGGTGAAGTTTGCTGAATCTTCAGACGCTTAGATGTCCATCATATTAGGATGTCAGTTAGGAATGATATATATTCAGTTTATATGTACATTGCATTAGAATGTAGGCAGGGACTTGTTTTGACCTACACTGAAGTGTTACGTGTTCATTGTTTCTCTATTTTTTAGCTTACCGCCATTTGCATTGCTACGCGGCCACCCATCATTTACATCATCATCATTTACACGCGTGTGATTCAAAAGGCGCCAAAACTTGTCGATTGTTTACAAGTATTATGAGCCACACTCGGGCCTATCCGGGCCGATCCAAACGCGCGTAAATGATGTCAACGTGTTTGATTGACGGCAGTTCATTGCAAAGTGCACGTCGCGATTTTTTTCTGGGGTGGCCGCGTAGCAATACAAATGGCGGTAATAGCCAATCCGAGGTTAAGAAAAAAACCGGGCAATGTCGGCATTGCAGGACACTGTTCTTCTTCTTCTTCTTTTTTCTTCTGCTGTTTACTTTTCAATTTCAGGGCATTGTGCATGTTTCCAACGGATGACATATTTCCCCCCTAAAACAGTACAACAAACCACTGCAATGCCAACTAGAGCTCCACAAAGTTTCCACTCCCAACCAATTGTTCAATTGACCCTTCACATTAAAATAACGCCAGGCCTGTCACGCAAAGTCAGGCCTGTCACGCATAAAGTATACAAGATATGCACGGCAATATAGTTTACAACGTGACTACTTGAGACTTATTATTATACGGTTCGTAATGAAACCAAATTGAAATATGTACGAGATCTTGGTTTTCGCACGTTTATTTTTTTAGTTATTTGCTATAATGGGCCATGTGTCCCCGCCCGCCTCATGAAATCTAGAACTTGTGCCAAATCTAAAACCACCACAAATGAAAAGCACACTTGAATATTAGTAAGGAGGTGGAATTTCAGCTCATAGTATAGACTATAAGACATAATTCAGTTATAAGAATCTAATGTTATAAATTAAAAGAAGGAAACATTGAAAAATTGTTTTATTACATTTTGTTGTTGTTTTTATGCTAAAATATTTGGTCAGCAATTATAAATTTGGTGCAAGCTGATTGGCTAAAAATTTCAACATGTTGCTGCCAAGTTCACATGATGAAATTCGTTGCGCGCAATGTTGCAAGAGTAGAACGCGATTCAACTTCAGATTTGTTGCATGCGACGTTGCATGCAAGAAGTTTCGGTTCAGGGGTAGACACACGCTGCAACAGTCCTGTTGCGTGCAATGTTACATGAGATGTTGCACCGTGTGTCAGCACTTAGCGCACTCCTTCCCATACAAAACTTACAAATATTTCTCGATAACGACGTGCGCGAGCAAGGTTTTTCTAGAACATGGTATTTTCGTTGACAATTTTTATCAAGTAAACTGGAAAAAAAATAAAAAAATAAATAAATTGCAGATTTTTCTTCTATTAACATTGTTATACTTAATTCTTGTTTTACTATACGAAGCTCTTATTAACGTCTTTATAGTATTTGTCGCTTTTTTTTTYTTTT